ATGTGTAGTGGGTATCTCGCTTATCAGCAGTATAAAGTATCGCATAGTGGGTAATTTCCTGTTTCATGAAAGTTGCGGTGCGTGTGTAGTGTGAAAATTGCACTATAACTATAGCGTACACGCCAAGGAACTTGCCCCAAGTACAAGAAGTTTGGCGAGCAAGCTCTTCATAAAACCGGGCATATGAACTTCGCTTTCTCGTTGGGTTCAAAATAGCATACTGATTTCGAATCGGAATGGCGGATGCCTCTGCGTGCTTATCCGCAGAGACAAATAAAATATCCTGTGGAGCTGCGTTTGCTATGACACTCAGCGATGCCTGGTCTGAATGCTTAGGAAGCCACTGTATACTCCAGACTATTTTCAGCAGCCAAGATTCTGGTACCATTGCCATGTTTCGCAAAGGCGCAGAAGACAAAGAAGGCGTTGCTGAAGTATTTGAAGTCGACAGATCTCTGTGCAGTGTTGGCGGTAACGTGTTACAAGTACTGTTGTTACTGGTAGCGCGATACCTTTTTTTTGGTAACTTAGTAATGTACATGTTACGATTTCGTAATTGTAACGGGTAACGTACTGACGCTAAAGTTTTTCGCTACCGTGTGGTGTCACGTTAATCGTTATTTTTTCATCTTGTAGGTGCCATTTTTTCAGACATCACGCCGATGTTTTCTGTTGTCGCAATCCGCCTGCAGCTATCCACCTGCAGCCAAGAATTCAAGGGTGGAATCACTTTTTTGTTTAGAAATTGCGGACAAAAGCTTCCGCAACACACGTACTTCATGTGACAAGCTTCGGGTCATCGCTAAGTAAAGCTTAGAGAAAGCCGAGGAATCCACCATGACAAACTGTAGAAAGACGCTTTTCATGAAAGTGGACTGTAGCAAGTGGATTGCGGGCTCCTGCGCCTTTCCGCGCACAGAAGACAGGCTGCCCGGAAAAAAAGCGCATGGATAGGTTTACTCCATACCACGTGCTCATTGCCACACTTCGTATGTGGGAGAAGCAAAGAACTTCGAGAGCCTACGGTTACATGAAGCCGGTGTCTGCAAGTTCGAGTGACAAAGGAGTACGGTCGTTGAGCACATAGTGGTGAACGACCACTGCATCGAATTGCCCAAGTTTGGTATCGTAGACTTTGAGCCCAATTTATAAGCAGCTTTTTCTTGAATCCTGCCCCATCGAGGAGAAAGCCAGTAATTTGACCAGCCTATAGCTGCACTACACTCTAAGGCAAAATTACCCGAAAAAGAAGTACCGGAGCCCAATAGGCGCGCACGATGAACGGATAGGCCGTTGAGTAGCAACCACAGAGGGAAGCGTGCCGCGTGAAACCACTTTGTCTCCAAACACGCTCCAAAGAGTGAACCACCCAGGGATCGCAGAAAGCGCGAAAAGCGTTGCCAAGGTGACCAGCCCTCCTCTTTCTCTGTTGGTTCAGTCTTTCCTCTTATTTCGCTGGCGACGGTTCGCGTTGTGTCGCGCTCGGAGTGCTCGACCATGGCCGCCTGAATTCGACGATCTAAGAATTACGACGTGGTGCTTGTGTGTACGTTTGGATGAGAGTGGGCTGCTGCTTTTGCGTTTCCCTGCACCAATGAAGTCTCGAGGAAGTCCCAACACGTCACCAAGCCACGCTGTCTATCTCTGGCTTCAAGATAGTCAAGACCAACACACGACAGCAACAGTTCTGAAGGCCAATAGGGCGGTCGAGAAGACAACAGGCCTATCGAATGTATACTTCAGTCCGACTCAGGGCAGAAAACGGCGCTGGATTCTAAGGCAAGTATGTTATCATTCTTTATTTTACTCTACTTGTCGCGTGTGTGATACGGATCGCGCTTGCCGGCAACGGTCTCAGTCGTGTTGTATAAAACACGCACGAAATGCATCGCGAAGGTCAGCTTTGGCGTGTGCATTTCGCCTGTGCTTTGCGACCGCCTGGAAATCGGCCGCCATCGCCTTCGGCCTCCCGTACACTCGCTCATCGATTGCTCGCCTGTCTTCGCCGCCGCGATGAGCTCCAGGCTGACGATATTGGGCTGAGACCTCATCGCTTTGTTGGGAGTCGTCGAAAACACGTTGCGGGTTGTCGTAAAGAGCTAGGTTGTATTATGTCGCGCGCGGTGTGTGCACCAGCACAGGCTGGTGGGGCTTTCGCTAACGTCGGACCTCACTGAAAATTGGTCACCATTACAGTTGGCTATCCCGTCAGTCGGTCGCAAGAAGCTCGGTGCCGTCCGTAGGCCGCAGCGGCGGACTAGCGTTTGCGCGCTGCACTCGCTCAAGTTTGCGGAAAAGGGCCGCATTACCGTCAATTTCTTCGGCGCTAGCTCCATTCCAGCTCAGCGCTGTTCGTGGCAGCGGCCAAGCGTACGCTCGCTCTCCTGTTAAAAGTTCGCTGGCGGCACACTCCGCGTGCAGCGCCGTGTTTGGGCTCACGTTCGCTGGCTCGACCTGAACGACGTCGCTTGCTTAGGACTCGCCGACTTGTTAGCGGCATGGTGGTTTGCGTAGTTGTGGATGCGGCCGCCGCTCCTAAGCTGTTTCGCTACGGGGGCCAAAATAAGTCTTCGACGATGTGTGACATCACGGTGAAATTATTAGCGCGTCATATCCCACGTATGTTTTCATTTCACTTTGCACGTATTTCTCGTATACATTTGTAATCACCCTCTGTCACGTGTGACTCTCTATTTTACATACTTATTGTGCAGCCGTGGGCACACACCGTGCTGAAGACTGTGTGCGGTGGCGTCTGCGATGACTGTCATCCATCGTTTTCGTCAGAGCAGCTTCAGAAGGACTGTGCGAGATGTGAAGGTAAAGTTATTTGTGTGTTAAATTTTAACACTTGTTTTTATATTACCGTGCACGTACTTGTAATATGCGTGCATCTTCATCTTCTGTCACGTGTGTCTATCTGTTTTTACTATATTATTGTACGTGCAGCCGTGGGAACACAACAGGCTGAAGGCTGCGTGCGCTGGCGCCTGCAATGCCTGTCATCTATCGATTCCGTTGGAGGAGCTCCCCAAGGAGTGAACAAGATTTGACAACGAGAATGAACTTGTACACTTCACCATGAATTCACTTAAAAGAATGCAGAAATTTCATGTGTATGTTGAAAAATAAAAGATTTTGATGTCTCACTTTTGTGTTTGGTTGTTGCCGTGGCTGTGAAAGCAGTTACACATAGGTGGATAACAACTTTTTCGCGTGTTCTTTTCTGCGTAATTCGTTGCCTACTGCGCAGAAAAACAGGCGAAAAAAGTATTAGGCCTGGCGGAAAATAAACAAAAACAATGTTTTAACTGGGGACAAAAAAGGTCATGCAAATGGAGTATTTGGGTGAATGAACCGTTCGACCAGCAAGGTGCAACTGGGAGGGCTAATGGTTGCCCGGTAAACTGTAAATGTGGATAATAACAGTTTTCCTACACTCTAAAAAAGCGAGTAAAAAGGGTGTCTTTTTGTCCCACAACAATAATCGTCATCTATATTGCGTTCCATCCTCGCGCTATCGCCCCGCGACCTGTACATTCCCGTCACTATTGACATTCCCATTATCAGGGTTACATTGCATTCTCGATCAGAAAGTGGCCAGCGCCAAGTTTTCAAGAAAGCAAGCGCACACAAGCCTGATGACGATTATTGTTGTGGGGCAAAAATACACCCTTTTTACTCAATATTTTCTCAGAGTGTATAAGGTGCAAATGTGAAGACTAAATGTTATTAATTTAGGTGAACTGTGGGACTAACGGTTACTCACTAAGGTGTATTTTTGAGGACTAAATGTTAGTCTCTTGAGCTCTTCTGTGGGGACTAACTGTTAGACTCGTAGCCATTAGTCCTTAAAGGAAATAATGGTAGTAGCAGCACCATTATTCACCAAGAGGATGAACCACAAACCCTTTTAACACCCTTTTGCCTTAAAGTGTACCGATGGAGCCTGCCTAAAGAAAATTCTGGAGATCAAGGTCAATAGGCGTGACCCCCGGGCCGGAACAACACCTCTAAAAAGATGCAAGTGAGGAGCGAAACGTCAATATTTTTGTTTGTGAAGAAAAAAAGCTTTTAATTTTATTATCGCTACATTGATTGGTTTGATCGGTTTCTCGCTATTTTAACTAAAACTCATTAATACTGCTGTCATGAAACGCTACGGCTAACAACAGTTAGAAACAGCTGTGCAGCAGACATAACCGCTGTTAGTCCTCTAACTGCGCTTATTGCAAGGCAGAGGCTTATGCAGAAGTTGTTTTTTCTTTGTTTTAGGAGTTTGGGGAAGGGGAAATTCTTTGAGCTGAAGTGTGAGCCTAGTAGGCAAGTATGCCATGGCGACAGAAACTTTAGAGGGGGGACCATGGACCCGATGTGCGTCCTCCTGGAAAACAAGTAATTCCATAAGATATCGACATCATACAAAAATGATATTCCAGATTTCATTAAATATTTCCTATTTCTTGCTTATAACACTCAGTACCCCGAAAAGCAAGTCACGTTTCTTTTTAAACTCATAATTTATGAAGCGATAACACCGAACATACCGAACACAAAGGGAGTAATTTGGTCACCAGTCAATCTCGAAAGTTCATATTAATGTAACACTTGAATATTACCGTTACATAAAAGACATCTTGTGCATAAAATATATGCACAACGCAGATTGAAGGAACATCGAAACTTGTAGATCAAAGAAACCTATTTTTGAATATGTCTAAAAAGGGTGATTTTAATATGCTTGCTATAAAATAGTTGCTAGAAAGTTGATAAGTATAATGAACCTTGTTTTTAAAACTGCGTCTTTGGCTATTGAACTACTAAGCCAGTGAGCCTGTTCGTGAACACTCTTACATACACTCCCGCAATATTTGCGGTAATTATGCAGCCTAAAGTGAACCAGCAATGTTTATGCACAAATATTTTTCCCATGGCTAAGCCATGAAGGCTGTTTTTAGCGCGTCGTCAGAATAGCCCTTTTCTGTGTAGGTCGTCCGGGCATGCGTGCCGGCATTAATGAGGCACGCGCCATGAACATTGATGGCGCAAAGAAGGTGACAGAAGTAAACTAAGGATCATCTAGTGTCACAAGCGAGAAAGTGCTCCAACCCCACCCCACTCTACCCCAAAAAAGCGACAATGCAGGTCTTCAGGACTGCCTACTGGCACGCGGTGGGGAATCACAGAGGCCAAGGATGACCAGTTTCGATTTCTTCGAACTTCACGAAAGGGGCTATTAGGACTATAGTTATAGGGCGAGAACAAAACGACGACACAGAGACGAGAAGGGCACGAAGAACACGTCTGTGTGTCGTCGCTTTGTTCTCGCTCTATAACTATCGTCATGTCATACCAACTAGCCCAAGCTGGCACACTTCTGGGCTATTAGGACTCCAAAAAAGCCGATTACGGAAAATTTCTTGAGTTCCGTGATGCCTTCCTTGTTGCTAGTGTGGATGATTGAATCTGGTATTGTGTATGATGTCGCATTGGAAAAAATAGCTGCACTATGTGCCATATTCACAAGCAGTCACATGTAACAAGCAGCTTGAAGTCACTATAACATTGGTAACGTCCGGTACATTTGCACAAGTAATACTCGTTAAATGAGCGCATTGATAATCTTTTTCTGGGTTAGAAGTTTTCAGTGAAACAATAATTTGAAATATAAACATAATCTTACTGTGAGATCCTGTAACGAAGACACATTAATTAAAATTTATGACTGTGTTGTAACTGCAGAGGTAACGTCCGTTACTTTTTTGCTCATGGTAACGCGTTACCATTTTCTATGTGACATGGCGGTAACGCGTTCCTTTTTGGTAGCAGTAACGAGTAACGTATTTAGTTCCTTTTTATTGTAATTGATACAACTCTGGTATTTAGTTACTTTTTTGGGTAACGAATACAACACTGTCTCTGTGACTGTCTACCGACTTGAAGTACTCTTTAAAGTGTGCGCATGATTCTGCCTGTACATCCCATTTATTTTACAAAATATATAAATACACGTCCCATTATCTGCTCCCCCTGTGCACAGTGGCCAATTGGACTTGCGTTTAGTTAAACACTCTGCATTTGTTTCTTAATTCTCCCCTAATCTTTTTTCCTCATCACTGCCTAATTGCATACACTATGAGTACCCGGCACTCTCGAAATTCCCTGGCAAAAACCGCTATAGGTGACCCTTACGGTTACATTTGATAGGCAAAAAGAAAATAAAGTTGCGCCTCACTCCATTCAGTCTTTTTTGTTTGCTGTCTTTATAAAATGCTGCCTTTATAGGATACGATCTATTTTAACGTAAAAGCAGACGATTACGCAGTTATCGCTTTTCCTTTTTCTCGATTAGGTGCCTCCGTCTCTTTTATTTTTTTATTTATTGATTTCATCCCGCGTTCTTTTAATAGAACGTTCGACTTCGTTGACAATATCGGTCCCTGACAAAGCACCAGAGTATGGTGCGGACCTGTCTGGTCATGTGTCCCCGTTCATCGTTTAATCACGAGAGAAGACAAAATTAAAAATACGAAAGAAGTTCTGACTCACACGGTATATACGTGTCTTTGATCGTCTATTCTCAGAACACTCGACGTACGTTTGCGTTTTAATTTCTTGCCAACCTATTTTCTCCAACCGAAAAAGGTTTTTTCTCCTTTCATTTCGTTTTTATCATTGTACTTACCCTCCCGACAGCCTAGAAATTAGTGCGTTTTTCATATCCTCATAAAACGCGACACCCAGGTCATTTCACACAACTCTCCATTCACAGCCTCTTTTTTAGGTGTTAAACAAAAATAACATGAAAATTGTGTGGGAGGTGGCGTAGAGGAGAGTGCTCAATATCCAAATTAACGTATTAAAATGGGAAAAGAAGATTTAAAAAATGAATATTTTACTCTGCACATTTTTTCCGCATGCGTCATGATCTCGGAGCAGAGGAGGGCTAGCTGTGTTGAAAAGACGTATTTTTTTGTCGTTGTTTCTAGCAGTGATAGATAAAAAATATCGCTCCGAAGAGTGGCGACACGGTGCGCTGAAAGAGAACAGAGCGCTGATAAATACCTCTCCTTTGTCGTTTTGCTGTGCACGCACACCGGGATCAGTATAACACCAAGAGAACACACCCCGGAATAAACGAAAAAGGGAGACGAGTGAACTCATTTGCAAGCACTACTATACAGCAGTTATCGACGGGAGTGAAAAGTAAAAGCAGAAACTGGAAAAATAAGAGTTCGTCATCGCGAGATCTACTCCTCCTAGTTCATTGTTCTTTTGTGTGGTGTTCCGAGAATATTTTCGGCACTTGTCATCTTTTTTTTTAAAATTTATTCTTAGTACTTGAAGAAACTGGTGCAATACGAACCAGTCAAAAATATTTGCTGAAACAGAAAAACGAAGATAAAACAGGGAAAAGTGAAGATGGGGTAGGCTAACCGGATTTCAGAGATCAAGGTCCATAAGCGAAAATGGCGCTTTCTCTATCACCATCGCTCCCCTGTATGCTAATATGTCGTCGCTTTTAGCCTCCTCTCCTTGTTGCCATGTTCTCGTGCCATTGATTGAAATGATTCGTATTGTCTGACCGTTCGACTAACGTTGCCTACGCGCACACTCAATCCATATATGTACATGACTGTGCGTTGGCTTCTTTCCTCTGTTCAAGTGAGCAGGGTTGTGCTCGCGCATTGTGGATCGCCTACGCATTTTTCTTTTCATCGCAGAAGAACCTTACCCACACAATTGCCCTTTGTCACTATTCCTTATCTTGTCTCGGTCACTGCGCTCTTTTTCCATATCTTGCTCACGCCCACTGCTATAATGCTCGCGACCTGTCTAACCCCTTCTCCTATCGCTTCCCCTCGTCCTCTTGTATACACCGAGACAGGGTACACGTACTCTGCCTGCGCAAGAAGAACGCAAAAGGAAAAAAAAAGCAAAATATGCCCAGTCAGGAAATGTTCACAAACTGCACGAAAAAAAAAACTAGCTTTCATAGTGATCAGAGGACCCCTGAGAGTGAAAGCTTTGTTTGCAAAATTTTCACTGTATTTTGTAGCTTTTCGTCTGGTAATGCCGAAATCATTTCGTAAACTATCTAACGCATCGTATAAATAATCATAGTGGCGTTAATTCAGAAAATTGTGGCGTCAGTTCGAAACGCCAGCCTAAATATAATAAACTAGTGCCCCACAGTGGGGCAGCGCCTGAGATCACGTGCGCTCAAGCTTCGCAGACGCTGAAACACGCTGTTTTCAAATAAAGGGACCCAGGATGGGTAGAATATGGAAACGATTTGAGGGATTTGAGGGTGCCCCTCTCAGAAAAAAGAAAAACATTCCTCACGTAAGCAGTCCAAACCACTTTGAAGGTAGCCCTACAACAGAGCGAAAGTGGTGACGAACAATAGTCCTCACAGGATGCCACTCGGGAATTGTGTGTGCCCCGCCAATGTTCTTGACCTCTAAAACGTCACAAGGGGATCCCTGGTCTACGTGAAACCATAGAACATGTCGATTATACCTGAATTCTCAGAGGAGCACGTACCCTTACTTTAAAACATAATTGAAATATCTTCTAGGCAATGCTCGTCCTTAAATATTGCTAAGAGGTGGCCGCGCATGCAGGACTATCAAACAACAAAAGCATTTGGGGTTTCCAAATTTGGTGTCAAGGTTCCTTTAAGCACAGTGGTGTGAATGAAAGGCTGCTCCCAGTTCTGATGCTATTTCGACAACGTTGTTGTTTCTTTCTTCCTTTTTTTTTATTCCATTTTTCCTTTCTTTCTGTTTAATTTTGTTTGTTTCTTTCCTTCTGTCTTTCTTTATTTTTTGTTTTTTAAAGCACTTACAAGCTACTTACTTTACGGGCAATATACTACACACAGCCTAAGCCTTCTGAATAGGTACTTCACTTTTGGTCTTTATGACGTAGACCATGTTCTCGAACACTGATCTCCTGGGGTTCACCTCAGAAAAATACAGCAATCACAGATTGAGTAGTGAGGTTGAAAAATTTGAGAATTCAGGTTTTAGTGATCCACACATCTAACCGACCCAATGCCAAACTGTTTCAAAGTTGAAGACAGGCGACACTAACACTAAAATTACATCAAGAGGTTGCTCAGGGCTCCAGCCTGTATATATATATATATATATATATATATATATATATATATAGTCCTTCCAACCATACTGTTCCCCGCGTGTCAATGCGCAAGGAAATTTGAAACTTGTATATTCATGCACCCGTCGCAATTCAGTCATGTCAACACAAAGTTATGACAAATTACCATTTTTTTACTTTGATTGTCCTAGCTGCTATACCGAGAGTTCATCACGTGAGCCTATAAAAGCGGCTGCATTGTATCATACCTACTTACTCTGACGAAGGCCGTGCCATGGCCGAAACGTTAATAAATACGATTTCCTTTTAAAATGTGCTATCTGCAAGTTCATTCAAATTTTACCTCACCCACATATTTGAAAACGACAAATCGTGGCGAAAAATCAAAGAAGAAATGATCATTTAAAGATTACGATGAAGATTCACTTACAACCTGTGATCTGAAGGCGATCGATCTCAGTTGTCACAACCACCAGCAGTCTTCAAGCACTAATACAGCAAAATCGAGATGACCATTCCCAATCCGACATGACCAATTCAAACTTCCGGTCACTGAAATACATCAAGATCCATTTCCGCGAAGAGTTAATCTGCCACCGTGTTTTGCTACGGCACGAAAATTGACCTCTATATCACTACTGCACCATCGGACTCGTGCTACCCAACCATCCACTGCACTGTACTCCCCGCATCGTACACTTGGCCCACCACCAGGTTTTCCGTCACTTGGCTCTTCAGTTACTCACAACGCCTACCTCACGCCTAACATGCTCGCTAAGGTTGGTATGAACCTGAGGAGCTCCGAAGGTACTCAGCCAAGCCCAAGGTCTACCGTCCATATTCATGCATCGGAACAGCCAAGCTCCAAGGTTGCGCAGACAGAGAAACAATCCCAAGCAAAATCCGACCCAATCAAGCGTTTGGCACTGTCGCCGTCGAGTTCCCAGCCACCCGAGAGTCCTACGAACACAGTAGGCGCGGAAAAATAAACTCTCAAGCACTGCCCTGTACAAGAAGCGCCTATTAAGAACGGCGTTGCAAGAGCCTCCAAATGCCTTCCTGTCTATTCTAGTGCATTACCTTAATTTTCTTTCGAAAATCACGACAATCCAACGACTACCAACTATCTACTAGTCACATCAACTATCAAGAAAAAGCAGGCTCGTGTTACTGAAAGAGTAGTACCTCGTCAGATTCCAAAACATCAGCAATGTCATCAAGAACTCAAAGAACTCAGAAAACTACGGCAGTTACATCAAGTACAACGACGAACTAAAATGAGATCACAAGCAGATTTGTGGCTCAAGGAAAGTCGTCACAAACGACACCAACTAAAGGAAAGACCAAGTCAACATCTGAGCTATATTCGTAGAAGGAAACGTCATGGAAGTCTTCTGTACTAGATATCAAGGCTTCATGTACAATCCTACCGATGGAGATACCGCCACAGAAAAGCACGTAAGAGACTGAACGCAACCATTTGCAAAATGCAGGTACACAGACATTGTATCATCATCTTCGGTTGTCGCAAACGCAAGCTGGAATTAATGCTTTTGTATCAGCCACGCCAAAGAATACAGCGCCCACGACAGAAAAATAGGCGCCTACGACGTCCGACCTTCAAATTCTACAAGGACGTCCAGCCTCGTTGGTTCTTCGCAGCTACTGAAGCCGTGTCATGGTGAGTGAAGTTGTGCAGGACGCAGTTATCTTCTGCAGAACGCCACAGTCAGCCTCACCCACCAGAACTCCTGCGTAAACCGAACTGCTGCACTATCGCCTGAAGTCTTTGAAAGTGTTTGCAACTCCCCTGGAGCATAGAACCAATTATAAATTTTGACATTTGTGTCTTTTCAATCTCTTTTTGTTTACCACTTCTTGTTCGTAATCCATGCCTTCTTTCGGGGGGAGGGGGAATCTTGTGACGTATGAAGCGATGAGCCAGGCCACAACTGCCACACACACACACACACACACACACACACACACACACACACACACACACATATATATATATATATATATATATATATATATATATATATATATATATATATATATATATATATATATATATCATTTGAACGACTGCGGCAGGCTAGTGCCACCGGCGAAACGCAAAGATAATATTTGTTTGTCGACGCGTGTCTTCTTTGTATTCATATTCTTGTCGATGTTCCAGAAGTTGTCACCTGTATATATATATATATATATATATATATATATATATATATATATATATATGCACATATAATTCGGAGTTGTTCAATTCAGTCATACGAGTTGCGATACTCCCCATAGGCTCCTTGTATCGAAATTTAAACAGCCCATTCACCCAGATGTCGAAGGGTGCAGCCGCACCACATGTTGATCAGCCTCCCCACTAATTAGCGCAATACTTCGGTTTTGTGTTGCACTCACAGATGGCGTGTAGTCTGCTGATTCCTGCAAAATTGGCGAATTGCGTGTCCGGTTTTCAAATTGCAGTTTCGCAACTCTTATAATTGAATAATTCTGTGTATTGCATACTTTCAAATACATAGTCGGCTTGTTTTATAGTTTAGAATTTTCTTCTGTACGATGTTATTTCAAACAACGTTAGTTTTTGTAGCACCTAACCTAAATCCTTGCACGATTTCTGTGGCCACATGTCATATTAGAAGGTCATCATCGTCATGATGCCCACCATTTAGCCTCATACGCCTTCAGAACTTCCTAGAAAAATTATTCTTCTACTTGACCCTATTACCTGTAGAGGGTATGAGCCACGGTCAAAGACCAAAAAAGAACCATCAAAGGCACGCTGTTTAGGCAGTTTTCCAGATTTGTCGCTGCTCATCACCGAACAAAATATTTATAACCAACTATGAGGTTCAGAGAGATGGTACTGCGATAAGCACCTTCTGCAAACTCGTTCAAGAAAACCATGAGCACACAAGAGGAGGTGACAAACCAGGCTATACTAGGAGCTATTGCTGCCAAGGGTGATGCGACACTAAACAACTTCTTCACTAAAGGTACCGCAAGTATTAATATTAACTTGCCTCACTAAGCGAGATATATATAGCAATTCAAGAACCGCAATGAATATACGTTTTTCTTTTAGCGTAGAGGTTGTCAGACAAGCTCTTGCAACTTGTTTCACATTCAAAGCCAGTGACCACTGTATCAACAAGCTTTTTTTGAATGCTCTCACACCGTACTCTAGCAGTTTGGCCTAAATAAAAGCAGACGTATATATGACCACTTATCTTCCAGCGTGGATGCGTGACTTGGCTACTACAAATATGCCTATGATTGTGACAGTGTGTATAATTGATAGGAAAGTCTTGACAGAATTACCAGAAAATGATTTTGTTTCTGCTTTCGGGCAGAAACAACAGCCTTAATATGCATGCAAAAGTATTTTTCTCTCCAACTTTTCAGTAAATGTGCCAAAGCTGTGGCATGAGGCACTTGTACAGAACGCAAAAAGAAGAAAGGCTTTCTTTTTGACTTCGTTCAACTGCACTCACAGCAAGAGATTGCCTTTTGAATATCATCACCATTTTGAGGTGAGACGCACATTACCGTTCTGCATATGCAGCGCAATAAATGAAGAAGTGATAAGTTTGTTCAACTGACCATCAAAAAAGCGAGTTGCCCCAATTAAGCGTCTGCAGCAGTAGGAAGTGGTCTTGACTTCGTCTGTATAGACCTTGCATGGACTGCCGTTTATGGACGTACGTAACAACAAAATTTTCGTTCAGTAAATGTAACAGTAAACATAAAAACGCGTCTGCCTGATACCTTTTCTTACATTTGCGCCGTTGAACCTATGGCTCACCAGCATCGGTAAGGTTAAAGTTTTGTTTATGTACGAATGCGTACGGTGAAAGTGTGATCCAATTTTCGGGTGCTTAGCTGAGGAACTATTTGCTTCTTTAGGTAAAAGTCTCGGGAAGTTTTGACATCACCTGCAAACGATACTTCGTCTATATAACCAAGAATGTTTCCAGTTTTTTTTTTCATTCCTAAAAAAATTCTCACCTGTAGTTGGTGTGTTCGTAGCATTTGCGTTCGTAGTTTTTCTGTGTGCTTCTCTAAATATTTATATTACAAATCACCTATGTATTTCACTATTTTTTACAAGACTGCTGATTTGTATACGTTTTGTTTGTATTAGACCGACCACTAGCCGTTTAGGCAATGCGTCGAAATGTCTGTGTTCATAATTTTCATCTTATAGCATAATGAAACTCCGCTTTCCGTTTTAATTGATTAGATTGGACTCCGGTGTACGCATACGTATGCGATCATTGGAAGTGCAGCCAAGTGCAGCAGCCCCGCTTTCAGTCACATACCACTAGCACTATGACTTCAACGTCGGCTAAAGCACAATGTTCTTATTGTCTGTGCACGCTCTTGCTGCTGAGATCGTGGTCGCTCAATGCTAAAATTTCATCATAGCAATACTACACCTCTAGTATACGGTCGTATTACGCTGTGCCTCCTCGCCTCGTATAGCATTTTCACCTCTAAGGTAGAATGGAATAAGGTATACGGCGCAGTGAAGGATGGAAGCAGGCGCGTAGCCAGAAATTTTTTGGGGGGAGGGGGGAAGCATCACCTTGATTTCGGGAGAGACACCTTCTTGGATTGGCCATTTTTTGCTCTCTATGCCAAGGTGAAAAAACATTTGGTGGGGAGGGGGGCACGTACCCGTTGGGCCACTCCCTGGCTTTGCCCCTCGCTCGTAGAGATGAAATTTTATTGAAAAGAAGGCTTCCACAAGTGGTGTTGTCTTCTGTTGCTGCGTTCAAGAAGAGAAGACCACTTGTCGAAACGTTTGCTCCAGCGAATTCCTGCAATCCAAGGATCTATCATTTTCTCAGTTTTATTGTGAACTCGTGCACAGGTATGCGCTAAGCATGACTTCCCTACGCTTTCTGTTCATGAAAGCTAGAAGTATTTGCATTTACTGCTCTAAATATGTCCTAGTCATCGCGAGAATTGAGCTTCGCCCATGCGTGGCGCACCTTCATGATTCATTTCCTTCTGATGCGCAGGCCGTGCACGACCAGCGAGTGGGTGGAGGCGGCAGGCGCGTGCCGGCCATGGCCGCCGACCGCCGCCTGTCGCTGGTGGCCGCGGAGCCGCTCAGCCCAGGAGACTCGCTCGGACCTGTGCCACCACTGGGCCTCGCAGGCGTCGACCCACTCGCGGCGCTTGCTTGGCGCTGTCTCGACGAAGCACCCGCACCGGCCAATGCCGCCGTCAAGGTATATACATTTATTTTCATCGTATAAGAATTCATGTACTTTCATATTTTTCTAAATAAGAAAGCATGTAACAGTTGCACTTTACCGATACTTATGTGTGGAGAAGCACCTTGGAAGCTTACATGAAATGTTCAAAGCATATCGGTGATATCGCAGTGAGCAATGGAAGAGAAACTGGTAGGTGAACCTCAAGGGACAAGAAGAGAGCGCAGTAGCTGAGGGCACAAAGGGGCGTTCATCATCATGAACAGATTTACTACGCCCACTGCAGAGCAAAAGCTTCCCAGATGATACGCCAATCAACCCGGTCTTGTGCTTTCTGCTGCTACATTATACCTGTGTACATTTTAATCTTCTGCCGATGTCTGTTTTTTTCGCGATTTCGAATAAAATATTTTTACCCCTGTTAGGTCCAAAGCCTACTCTAAAGTTATGTGCAACAGTCATGGCAGAAAAAACCGTCATGCAATATGTGAAGAGACGCTGGAAGTTGTAAAGGAATGTGTCTACTTAAGACAAGTATATAACCGCAGAGCCGAGCCATGGAAGTGAAATAAGTAGAAGAATAGGGGCGGGCCGGATCACTATCGGCAAGCATTCTCAATTCATGAATGGTAATATACCACTAACCCCCCAAGAGGAATGTATATAACAGCTTTATCTTGCTGGTACGTACGTAGGGAGCAGAAACCTGGCGGCTTACAAAGAGGGCTCAGCTCAAATTGAGTACGACGAAGTGAGTGGTGGAAAAGAAATTGATTGTTGTAAACCTAAAAGACAAGAGAGCAGAGTAGGTCAGGGAACAAACCGGAGATAAAACTATCATAGTTGAAATCAAGAAGAAATGAACATGAGCCAGGCACGTAGCACGTAGGCAGGATAACCGCTGCTCAATAGAGGTAATTGACTAGAGTCCAAGAGAAGGCAAGCGGGTTAACGGGTCTTATTCCACAGGCTTTGTCCTCATTTCGGAATGCTTCTTCCAACGAGAACGAGGCATTTTGGGCAAGCTCTCCCCCCTTCCAGTGCCACAGTCCACGCAAACAGCCGTGAAATTTCGGGAAAAGCGTCGCCTCCTCCACCGAGCCGCCGTGCAGTTCCGGGTAAGGCTGCGTCTTCTCTGCTGAGCACTGTGAAAAGGCCAAAAACGTCATTTAAGGCCATGCCAGCCCCTTGTTTGAAGATTTTTTGCCCCAGCCAACTTTGTCGTGCTGGCGGGCTTTGTACCAGCTATAACCTGCTACAGCGAACGTTCCTACCTGTTGCTGTTTTCACAACAATTACCTCCCTTTTCCTTCTCTGGGCAAAGGCTTCAGCGAAGTCTGTCGATTGCTCGCCACTTTTGGCCATCGCAAGAAACCGTAAATTGTAATAGTGGTTGGCAGTTTCAAGATACAGTACTCCTGTCCTCAATGTTTTCCTGCTCTGGGACAGGCTAACCCGATCTCAATGGCTAAAAAGCTGGAACATATCTCTGGAAACCTGACGACGACCACCCTGGCGATATCAGCGTTTGGATACGCTGGAATACGCTACCCCTGCCCCCAACGTTTAACTGCTGCTGAACCCGCCACCCCGATCTCAATGACTCGGTGTTGGAGTGGATTCCTGCAGGCCCGAGGACACCCACGACACGGTTCGACGGCAGCCTTGAGTTGAACCACCGTCGGCTACATTGGTTGGATGAGTGCCCAACGCTTACGGTTCATTTCGCCAGACTTCTCTAGCACAGGCAGATGTTAGGAGAGTTTTTTTGTGTGTTTTGTTTGGTATGGTTTAGTATTCACCTACTTTAAACCATGGTATTTGTTTTGGATTAAGGTGAACATCAGTAGTAGAGCATCACGAGGGACGAGATTGCGATGGAGCAGTAACTCGTGCAGGACCTACTTGAATTTTTTGGAGCCATGGGGATTCCCGCCGGGTCAACTTAAACAAGGGAAACGATTCTTCAGGTGATGTGGGTAAAAAATGGGACGTCCGAGGAAGCTGACGAGTTTTGGTAGCTCATTCGTAAGCAAAAGCAGAAGGCTGGAAAGCGAGATGCCGAAAAACGTCCTGAAGACCTCGAAGCTTAAAGGCGGGAAACATGGGAGGCCCCGGAGAGCCACAAAAAGAGACAGCATGCTATTAATATGAGAGCGCTTGATTGTAAAATTCAAGCACTTAAGTGGCAGCAAGCGAAAGGCCAGCTCCACAACTTTGAGACAAGCGAGAATATCGCGTATTTTCTTGATGATTTTGAAGTTGTCTGCTGTAATGTTGGTGTTAGCTGCAACATCTGGCTAGAGAAGCTTGTCACCTTGTTGCCGTGAAAGATAGCACATATTTTCCATTACTTATCCACCGAGGAAGCAGAAGATTTTAGTTATGCAAGATATGCTATGATAAAATTTCTTTTTCATTTTAAGTCCTGCTGGAAGTCGGAGTGACAGCAACAGTGCTTAAGCACGCGGTAAAGCGCTAGAAGTCCACGCCCACCGAAAAGAGAGAGAGGATGAGGTGCACAATAAAATGATGGAGACTCGTCGCGTAGCGCTTCAAGACGAAGCTCGCCAAAAAACGCTAGAAAAAAATGGGAGGTGAAAAGCACAAGATGTTGAAGCACGTCGTAGTGAGCGTGAGGCCGACTATGAAGGCCTGGAAAGAAGGTCTATCTTGGAAGATGAGAGACCCTTAAATACTGAAGTGAAACCTTCAGGCGAGATGGTTAGCTTTAAAGGCATCGGGACTTCGGTTCTGTCACAGGCCGAGACAGCTGGCAATGGGCCCGAAAAAAAGCTAGGTAACCAATCTGGAGCTTTGACTCCACAAAGCGTGAGCAGCCTGTTCGCGAGTTTGAATGACAGTGCTCTGAGCACGGGGATCAGTTCTCTTGGGAACAGTCGCCGTCGAAATTGTAGGGCAAAGTCGAATAACGCCAAGCGCGTGAAAGTGGCTAAACACCACAGCTCTCAAGATGCCATACTCAATGTCAAAGCTGAGGTCGGGACAAAGCTCAATAAGATAAGGTTGAAGGTCAGGCCACTGCAGAGATTTAGATGAAATGCGAAGTGCGTCGTAAAGAAAGGAACTTCAAGGAAATTCTGACGCCGAAATCTTTGCTTGGTCTCATCTCCTTCGGAGCAGCACCTAACGATGAGCACAAATATAAGTTGGTTGAGCCGCATGGAGTGTTGGATAAGCCTGTCGAAAACAGCACACTTGTGAGCAAGTTTGTCGAAGCTTCCAGCATTCCTAGTCATTCCAAGAGAAACAAGGCGTCGGCGTAAACGTAACGTGGTACAGACGACTGATGCCAAGCGCACTAATGTCCCTGTTAAGTGCCGTGACGTTATCAGTGAAGACGCCAGGCTCAGGGCTAGGTGTAGGATCGCGAAAGGGCCCCCAGGGAAATGTTTGAAGCTCATATCATCATTCAGTTCGAGATTAGGCGTGAAACATGTCAAGAAAAGCCAAATTTCAGGGAAATTTGGACTGTTGTGACTGGCGCAGCAGCTGTAGAGGGAGTGGCGCTCCTTGGATCTTCAAACAAGTAGCTAACAGGCTGGCTGCCTACGACCACCAGGAATTGTCCTTCCCAGCCAGAGGGTGAGACGTCGTGTTGCCACGACGCTGTAAGCCGTTCGAGAGAGGACAACAAATACGGCATCTTCCTTGAAAGAGACCACGGCGGACGCCACAAACCACCCCGCTAATTAAGCGAGCAATTCAGTGGACCATTTGAAGTATGCTGTTATGAGCTCGTGACCCCTCGACCAGCAGCACACACATGACGAGGAGGAGCCCCGCTGATGCCACCTTGTACAGCAGAGTCACGCCTCAATATTGGACGTTCACGTGGGCTGTGCATGCTCGTCCTCCTCACCAGTTGTGTGTGATCTGTGATTGGATAGTACTGTCTGCGCGTGTTCCCTGATCTAGGGATCTGGGGAGCACATACCCTTTATAATGAGCCACCCGTCTCGTTCGAACGAGCGCCATGTAGAGGAACACCAGATTCGAAATCTCGCCTTGTAAAAAAAAGCTCGTCATGTACGAGAGCTCACCTTGTATACAATGTAAATAAACCCTCTCCAAGTCTGCATTTCCGATGAAGGCGGAAATATTGTAGGCCCGTGTGCTCAGATTTGGGTGCACGTTAAAGAACCCCAGGTGGTCAAAATTTCCGGAAACCTCCAATACGGCGTCTCTCTTAATCATATGGTGGTTTTGGGACGTTAAACTCCACAAATCAAATCGACCACTTCATCCCTGACCTCCGGTGCCTGCAAACCCCGGTCGCAGTAGGACGCCGAGAACATCGCCTGGTCTCATTTTTTTCACTGCCGCGTAGAGCCAACCACGAAGGGAAGCATAGCTTATGCCTGAGCCGTAACACAGGGTGTTCTTCCCCACCGTGGCGAAAGGGTCACGGGTCGAACGGGTGGGGTAAAGGACGCAGGGCAGATGCCCCCTTGTGCGAGTTAAGCGGCTGTACGTCAGAAGTTGCAGCTACTGAATTCGCCAAACACTTTTGTTCGTTGTGCCCTTGTCAAGACCGGATCCCTCGAAAGCTATGGAGTGCGCGACTTCCTAGAGTTTGTCTGAGAGAGGCCCCATCTTGCCATCTTGAAGAATGGATACTGTATTCACCTTTGAAAATAATTTTTCTAGTTTTCTCCCCAGACGTTGAGGAAGAATTGTGTCTGATGCGTTTTACTTTCCTTCTCATCGAAAAATCAGACAATGACATGTTTGTTTCATTACTTTTGTCCTCCTAATATTTCAAAAGTTTTATTTTAGCATAGAAGGATGATTGATTGATATGTGGGGCTTAACGTCCCAAAACTACCCTATGATTATAAAGACGCCGTAGTGAAGGGCTCCGGAAATTTCGACCACCTCGGGTTCTTTAACGTGCACCCAAATCTGAGCACACGGGCCTACAACAATTCCGCCTCCATCGGAAATGCAGCCGCCACAGCCGGGATTTGAACACACGACCTGCGGGTCAGCAG